AGAGGGGGCAGGGGGGAGGGGGGAGGGGCGTAGTGTTTCGCCCATTGTATTCCATGAGCGCTTTCGACCTAGCTAGACCATCCCGATTTTTCCATTCCTTTGTTGTTGCGCCGCAAAGTCGACGTGAATGCTAGACTTGTCGACACTAGTGCTGCGTACTTGGCAAGACTTCGATTGATACTTTGCACCGGAGAGCCTGGATCAAGTTGGCACAGCTTGTAGGATGGCCGGAAAGTCCAGACATTTCGCAGGTACAGATCGAATTAACCCGGAGATTACACGCGGGATCAGCTGCCTGTCTCGGGGCTGTTTTGACTATAGCAGTACCGCAGCAACGGAGGCTGCAACGCGTGTGACAGCCCTGCCCATTCCCCACCGCTATATTTTGTATCCACATCCGTTCCCCCCTGCCTCCTCTCTGGCTCTACACTCGCGGCTCCGAGGTATGAGGGTGGTGTGACCAAAGACCCTCGACCCTCTTGCATCGGAACCCCTCTTGCCGGGAGCCCTCTTATTCCGGAACAAGAGGGTACCCAACTATGCCCAACTATGCCCAACTATGCTACAGCGGGTCGAGACGGCGACATCCGATTTCGACCCTCGTTTTTATCGAAGCCACGACTTGATTCTCAATCAAAGACCCGCCTCTTCCCATGGCCCCGGCCTTCGCGAGCAAAATATCAATGTTTATCTACCATGGTATGTATAATAGAGAGGGGGGTTTCCCCAACCCGCACCCCAACCCGCACACTACCAAGCTCACTCCTCGCCAAGGCTACAGCCCCCTCATCACGACCACCCCACCCCGCCCCCGACAGATACGCCTCCGGTAACCGCATCGAGGGCTTCGGATCGGGGCCGGCGGGCGGCAGGCCCGGCAACGGCTACGATAACGACGGAGGCGGAGGGCGGTACCCCTCCTACGGCGGCGGCGGCGGCGGCGGGTCAAGCTTCACCGGAGCTTACGACGGCGGGTATGGCGGGGGCGGCGGTAGCACCGTTGAGACGATCGGCGCGGTGGGGTCCGCCGTTGGCTCCGCGGTCGGAGCCGCGATGGGAAAGGCGATCGGGGCTGTGCGGGGGCGCGCGGGGCAAGGGGAGGGCGCCGGCGGCCTCGCGACTTCCGGGGG